CATGTATGTATGTATGTATGTATGTATGTATGTATGTATGTATGTGTGTGTGTATGTATGTATGTACGTACGTAGGTATGTATGTATGTATGTTTGTATGTATGTATGTACGTATGTGTGTATGTATGCATGTATGTATGTATGCATGCATGTATGTTGGTATGTTTGTATGTAATGCATGTAATGTATGTGATGTATGTACGTATGTAATGTATGTATTAAATGTTTGTTTGTAATGTATGCATGTAATGTATGTACGTAATTTATGTAATGTAATTTAATTTCATGTCATGCAATGTAATGTAATGTAATGTACGGTATGAAAGTAAAATAGCGTAGTGTAATGTAATATACCGTAACGTGATGTAATGTAATGTAACGTAACGTAGTGCAATGTAATGTTTGGATGTATGTATGTATGTATGTAGGTATGTATGTATGTATGTAATGTTTTCATGTAAGTATGTTTGCATGTATGCATGTATGCATGGATGCATGTATGCATGTATGCATGTATGCATGTATGCATGTATGCATGTATGCATGTATGCATGTATGTATGTATGTATGTATGTAATGTATGTACTGTATCGAATGTATGTATGTATGTATGTAATGCATGTAATGTATGTACGTATGTAATTTATGTATGTAATGTATGCATGTAATGTATGTATGTAATGTATGAATGTAATGTATGTAATGTATGTAATGTATGTAATGTAATGTAATGTAGTGTACTGTAATGTAATGTATGGAAGTAATTTAGTGTAGTGTCATGTAATATATCGTAACGTGATGTAATGTAATGTAACGTAATGTAATGTAATGTAATGTGTGGATGTATGTATGTATGTAATGTATGTATGTATGTAATGTATGTACTGTATGTATGTATGTATGTATGTTTGTAATTTTAAGTATGTATGTAATGTATGTACTGTATGTAATGTATGTAATGTATGTAATGTATGTAATGTATGTAATGTATGTAATGTATGTAATGTATGTATGTAATGTATGTATGTATGTATGTACGTACGTACGTACGTACGTACGTATGTATGTATGTATGTATGTATGTGTGTATTTATGTATACATATACGTATGTATACGCTCATTCCATTAAATATATGCAAATATTTGTGCATGTATGTAAAAAGGTTTACATATACATATTTGTTTTTGTATCTTTATATGTGCGTGTATAGGTTTATTTGTTTTTTTTTTTGTTTTTGTTTGTATATATGCGCATGGGTTTTTAGTTATGTACGTATGTATTTGTTTTTGCATATGTACATACATGCTTACATACATGCATACATACATACATGCATGCATACATACATTCACACATATATCTAAACATCTAAAAAATCGAATATGTATGTATATATATTTATTTACAGAAGTTTATTTACGTACGTTTTTATTTTCAAATTTGCAAGTATATATATAGTATTTGTATGTGTATACATACGTATTTTTTTTACACATACACCCACAAACATTTAAACAGATAAACATATTTACGCTTATACATTTACATATACATATACATTTGGTCAATACATATAAACATACATATTTATTCTTAAATACATGTATATATGCAGGTACATTTATTTATTAACAGATTTATTTGCATTTCTATGCCTTTATACTTACGCATACATGTACATAAATATACATTTACATTTGCATATACATTTACATTTACATATACTTATATTTCTACATATACATATACATAAACCTTTAGATATATATATATACATATCTGTATACATATGTTTGCATGTATGTATATATTTGCAATATATATATATATTTGTGTATTTGCATGTACATATTTATATATACTTTTACATTTACATTTACTTGTACGTATACATTTACATTTACATATGCATATACATATCTATTTACACATACTTTCATATATGTATATATCTACATTTACATATAATCGTATACATCCCAACGTCTACGCACAGTTACATATACATATAATATTTTTTAAACGTAAATAGGCATATATATAATATACATATGTAGGTACATATTTAATCGTATACACATTTATTTATGTTTACATTCGTATACACACAGATATATATATATATAATATGCGCATAACATCATATATATATATATGTATACTTGTATTGTATGTATCTATCATTTTCTTATGTGGAAACCAATTCTGTGCAATTTTTCAGCCCAGCCAGGCATTGCCCGCAGGCTTCACCTTGCTGCTGCCTGCGATTACAACGACGCACCCTGTCAGCCCTTGGGCGCCTCGATTTCCGCAGTTGACGGATTGGCAAATTCTGCAGGACTCTTGATGATTGCACAAGGGATGAAGATGGATAAATTTTCTTGGCAAATCACCACCAGGCAGTGTTTCCCATGGTATTATTTGGTAATGTTGTTCTATTCTGCCAATCTTGACGTCTCTTCGTTTTGCAGGAAATTTTAAAAAGAAACCCTGGGGCATTGCAGCCCGTGTTTTTCTCTGGCATCCTCGCGTTTGCGTACAATGCCTTGCAGCATCTTGGAATTTGATGGCGATGGTTTTGTGGTTCGAATATATTTGAGCGAAAGGGTCCAGAAAACAGAAACGTTTCCAAGACTTGAACAAAAATTTGAACAACGACTTGTTGACCTTTTGACATTTTGACTTGAACGTTCTCCGCATGTGAACGATGTAAAAGTTGGCCCTGGTTTGCTCTTTTGATCATCCCTGAGGCCAGGGACCTCACAGAGTTGTGGATGAATTGGATCACAGAGTTTGATTTGTTGGACATTCGAAAAAGTGGTCCTTTTCGATTTCGCCCAAGACCCTGCCCATCAAATCCTTATTTCCACACTCTTGAGGATCACATATTTGTGAACCATCTTCTTTTGACGTCGTTTGACCATTTTTTTTGAAGCGAATGTTTGATGCCATTTTTTCACCGAATGTTTGACCAAAAGTCCCCAAACACAAACAGCATGGGCGGGAGACTCGAGGTATGCCTTAGTTCATCGGCTTTCGGCGACCCACGCTTCCTTCGCCGGCAATTTCAATATGGTGCCCGGGAGCCATTGGGACCTGGGATTTAACCATTTCAGAACATGTTGGGAGGTTTAACCCATAAAAGGGGTGAAACCTCTGGGCGTTTCATGGTGTTTTTTCCTATTAGAATATATATATATAATTATATATACACATAAAAACCCATTGGAGATATTGGAGTATCAATAAAATTGCGGTAGCCCAAACCATTGGTTTGGCTAATGAACGTGATGATACGTGATGACCAATTCTGGATGATTTTGGGGTCAGCCATTTTAAGGCCCTCCCATATTCTATCAATTAGAAACTGATGATGAAACATGAACATAAATATGCACGCTGTATATACAACTAGATTACAGTACATATATATATAATACTATGATATAAAGAGTCATAGACCTTTTTTTACATGTGTGGAGATGTGGCCGTTTTCTTCCCGTCTTCCAGATGGGGGGGCATTGGGTCATATTGGGTCCGTGGTGGCAAGGCTGTCAGCATTCTCTTCTCCTTGCTGATTGGATGGGAAGTCTTGCCGGAAGGGTCGCTTGCTCCTAAACCCTCAGGTACCACCCTGAAGGGGACCCCCGAATGGACCAACTTGTGGTCTATATTGGATCCATCAGGTTACACCAGCTTTCAGCTGATGAATGTAAGATTCGGTTGCTTTAAATGGTTTTGTCATGATTTAGTTTTAATATGTTTTAATCATCCATTTTCATCAAGTTCATGGATTTCCAACTCAAATGGATGGTTCTCATGGTAGAACATCCCAACTCCTGAACTATCAACCCCTACATTTGGACGGTCATTTCTCCATTCTTTTCTGGATTCGTCCAAACATAGCCTAAACTCAAGTGGTCTATCATCATTGCCCCCATGAACCTTTTTGGGGGACTATCCATTTCTGCCAATTTTCTCATCATTTCTCCAGATTTTCGCCATTGCCGAGGCGTAGCACGATGTTTCTGCTGGCCATCCTCGGTAATCTTGCTGCCTTCACCGGCTTCACAGCTAAACAGTGAGAGTCTCGAGCGTCGGATAAGGCCACCACTGTCCAGTTGCTTCATTGTCCAGTGGTTTGGACGGACTTTTTGAAAGATAGTCGGCATACATATTATATATATACATATGATGTTTTGCTTCTCGGGATTACCAACTTTCATTGTGAATCATTTCCGGGTTTGGTAATAGTTTTTTTGATTTTCCATGCCCGGAAAAAACGATGAAATTGATCACCCAGATTTTTCTGGAGCCGGTACATGGATGATCTCTGTACTGGGGATTGTGATAAGTGGATTGGAGAGACCTCAAGTTGGAGATGTTGGGAAAATTCATCCTGTCTTTGGGCCAAAACTGGGGTCATCCCAGTCAAGACTGGAAATCGATTGAAATCGTTTGAAATTCTTTGGATCCTTGCCGTTGGGCATCGGTGAGCCTGCTGTCTTTGCAGAAAAAGAAGGGCGGCTTTGGGGCGCGGCCCCTTGCATTCCGAGCAAGTGGAAGGGTATGGAATGAAGACTCGAGATTGTGGAACAACATATTCTGAATCTGTAAAATGCACTGACACACAAGATACATATCAACCATATCACATGTATGTGCCAGCTCATTCATGTATGTAGACACATAATCTATATCTATACTACGTATATATAATATATATATATTATATCAATATATCAATATATATATCAATATATATATATATATCAATATATATATATATATCAATATATATATATATCAATATATATATATACAATATCAATATATATGTACATATATATACACTGTATATATATAAATATATCAATATATATATATATATATCAATATATATATATACATCAATATATATCAATATATATCAATATATATCACTATATATATATATATCAATATATATATATCAATATATATCAATATATATATATATAAGTAAATAATTATCAATATATAGCAATATATATATATCAATATATCAATATACATCAATATATATCAATATATATCAATATATATCAATATATATCAATATATATATATATCAATATATATCAATACATATCAATATATATTAATATATATCAATATATATATATATCAATATATATATATATATCAATATAGATATATATATATATATATCAATATATATATATCAATATATGTCAATATATATCAATATATATCAATATATATATATATATATCAATATATATATATATCAATATATATATACATATATCAATATATATCATTATATATCAATATATATATATATCAATATATATCAATATATGTCAATATATATCAATATATATCAATATATATCAATATATATCAATATATGTCAATATATATCAATATATATCAATATAGATCAATATATATATATATATATCGATATATATATATATCGATATATATATATATTTAATTATATGGAGATTAGAATGTCACACAGATTTAGACACGGTGAGAGATGCTGTGATCAGGTGGCAGCAGCTGCCTCGGTGAAGCCTGCGGTCTTGCCAAGGGCCAAGTGATGGGCAGAGGTCCTGGAACAGGCAGGATTCTCCCTAAGCATAGGGAGTTGATTGAACGTGATTTAATCAATTCAATCATCCAAGATCTGGATTTGATTATTAAAAATCTGATTTGATTTAAGGCTCCAGAATTGGATTTTCACAAATATAGCATTATAGGATTGTAAAGCAACTATCTTAAAAGTGGGGATGGGTCAATCCTACACAAAGCACGACAGTACCAAATTCGGAGGGGGTGAACATCCATGAGCTATTTTGTTGTGAACACGAGGATACCAGGGTTTTGGCCCATACCCAGATGGATTTTGCCTGTAGATTCGCATTCGTTTTTGTATTTTTCTATTCACCAATATTTTTGATATCCAAGCAACACTAGTTGACACGTATTTGACGTCTGCAATCTCTGAACCATTCCAACCCTATGGATCCTCAAAGACTCCAGAGGGCCCAAGAGTCTGCGCTTTTCTCAGTTGCAGCTAGTGGTTCCAATTATTTTGCCACCGATGAACCACAATGTTGCCTGCCTCCTCAGGTTGGGTGATTGCATTAATGTGACAAAATAAGTCCATTTGAGTCCTCCATTTGTCCAATGTGACAACATCTGATGGCTTTATTTCTCAAAGACACACCCTTTTGAAAGTTCGGGCGAGCAGAAACCTTGGGCGCAAGCTTAGGAAGTGGGGAGTGGTCCTAGGAAAAGTTCATGTGATTGCCATGGTGGTGGCAGCAGTGTCCATTTGTGCATGGTCCGTATTTTGCTGGTTTTGTCAAGGTTTGAAGACAGAATATACAGAATCAGCTTCTGTGTCATGTGAGCAGAAAGGATGAGGCCATGTCTTGGACTAACTCATGGTTTTGCCATTTGCAGTTGAAGAATTGTGCCATAGATACTACAGATACACATGGGACCTCAACGCCTGAGATGTTTGCCTTGAGAAGCTGTTGTGATTTCATGTTTATTTCCTGCCCCTGTGATGAATTCATATGAAATCAACATGTAATGACAACATATGACAACGACAATTCATAGCCTAGGATTTTTTTGGCGCGTTTTGAGGTCAGAAAAGATGCGGTTAGATTTGATGAACATCGAGGTATTGAAGGGTGACTTCAAGGTGCGATGGCTGATGATGGCTGGGCAGCTGCAATATCTGCAAACTGGATGGTTTCCGCATGTGTCGAAATATTCGAAACAAACATGTAGTGCAATCACGTTGGACGGTAGAAAACGAGGATATGATATTATGATATATTATGATAATTATATATATACTGTACTATGATATTCCGCAACAATGATGGTGCAAGATTCAGTCGCAGCTAAGTGGTTTCTTTTTTTGACATTTTTTGACAGATTTGTACCGGGTCACCCGGTGGGTCACCCGGGGGTTTGCCGTCACCCGGTGGGTCACCCGGTGGGTCACCTCAAGGCAACTGCAGCGGCGTACTCGGAGCACAACCAGGTGGAGATGAGGCGCTTGATGGTGTCACCATGGAGGACAGAAGAACTGGCCTCTGAAGCATCGTCGATGTCTACGGTGCAAAATGGGTGCCTCCAAGTCCGTGGTGGTTCTGAGATGTTCTGATATTAAAGTTATATAATCATCACCCTTTTAAGGCTACTTTTCAGGGGGACCATACCAAAATGTAAGATACAGAGATCAGACATACATTTTTTGGGACCCCCCCTTACATGTAAAATGGGTCGCTGAACGTGCCCCAGGTGTCGTTTTTGTGGGAAGGGTCTCAAAAATACCTTCAAAATGTAAGCTTACATTTTCAAGGTCCCCCGTCACACACACACACACACTGTAATACAATATACACTAATTCATATACTGTAATTATAATGTTAGTGTGATACTGATAGATCGAGTATGATCGAGTGATATGTACATATTCAAAATTTGCGATTACTCGCCCAACTTACTAGTCACTTTTTTGGGGTTGAAACCACCAACCAGTCAAGCATCAACGGTATAGTGTTGCAGCTTTCGGGGACATGACAGTCCCACGGCAGAATCACAACAGCTTTTGTCGCCGAGGATCAAAGCTTCAGTGGTTGAACTCGGAGGTAAAAACAATCTCTTTGAGGCAACAGTGACATCCATCGATTACCCAAGCATCCCTCACACATGAAGCTGTAATTTTGAATCGATGTGGTCATTTCTCTGATTGACCGATTTATATCGATTTATGTCGAGTCCAAAGGCATTTTGAATAGACCAAAGGCTGAACACAAAACACATTACCCCAAACATAAATCTGAGCCATCCTGAGCCTCTTTGCTTTGCTTCAATATTGTCACAGTGATTCCATGGTGTCTGGATTCTAGGGTCATAGATTATCTATAATAGATTATGGTTATAGATTATGGTTATAGATTATCTGGATAAGGGCTGACATCATCATAGATTATCTATAATAATTGTAGATCATGGTTGGGATTTGTGGGACTCATCCCCAGGCGAAAAAAACCAGCCACTTTAAGCACTTTTGGCTTGGAAACTCGTCAAGAAAAATATGCATCATATTTTAATGTTAACTGGTTCACTTTTCAGATGAATCAGTTACTGCTATGTTTGCTATGTTTATGACTAGGAGGAATTGTGGATGTCCATCCCTTAACCCCCTCCAAAAGAGGACTTTGTTTTAACATGTTTTAACCAGTCGATGAATTATTTACATTCATTTACATTCATTTACAGCTTTATTACAGTTACTGTACAGCTTTGGATGGCTTTGGGAGTTCTGCAATGACAAACAGCGCTTGGTCGCCATGGGCTCCAGTGAGCTCCAGCGCCGTCGCCGGGGAAAAATGAGATTTGTTGATGTGCTGGAAACTACCAGATATAATATATATATTGGATTATTACGGTATACATATATATATATATGTATATATATATGGAATTCTATGGATATACTACTATTGTATATATGATAGTATATTTTAGTTGGATTTGTGCCGTCTGCACTTTAATTGCCGCAATCATGTCGGGTATCCTGAAGATTGTGAATTTGCAAGACTAAGTGTGCTAAAACTCGTGTAATCAAGACAATTGACAAGACACTGTTGTAACTGGAAGTGACAGGTAAGGCGTTGGTTGTTTTTGATCTTTCCGGACGTTCCCGGGAACTGTTTTGGAGCCACGTTCAGGGTAAGACGTTGGTTGTTGCTGACGCCGTCTCTGGGGGCTCTCAACTCCCGCAAGCATGGACCATCAAAAGACCAGCATATTTGTGCTGATGGTACCCCATTCTTGAGCCATCTTGAGCCATGACCATTGGATCCATTGTGGGAGGGCTCAAAGATTAGATACATAATTAGACAGTTGAGTGCTATAGTCTGTAGTTAATAGACCGAATATATCCGAATAGATCGTATAAGATGTATAAGGTTTAAGATGTTATAAGATGTAAAAGCAGGACCAATTTGGTAAGTGGCACCTCAGTTTTGATCCATAACCATCTTGGTGGGCAGACTCAACAGGTGGCTGGGTCATAGCTCCCTCTTTGTCCTCCTTGGGCAGGTTTCCTTACTTCGCTGCAAAGCGAGCAAAGCGACAAAATGGCGATGTTCGGGGAGAGTGTGTCCGGAAGCGCAAACGGCAAATAGTCATCATATGATATAGTGGAATTTGAGGCTTTTCGGATTTAACCGACTCTGGTTTGTGAGCAAACTTGAATACCTCAAGGCTTTTCGGGTTGAACCGATGGCTGGTTTGTGAGTAAACTTGAATACCTCAATGCACAGATGTTGGCAGGCGTTGGCATAGTGGCATGTGAGAGATCAGACCCAAAGAGTTTTTTGCAGGGACATTATTTTTGGATATTTTTGGTGCCTGTAAATGTGGAGTAGTTGCTCGGCACTTTGTCTCTCTAATTGCTGCTTTGGTGTCAAGGACAACATGGAGATGGTCAGGTTTGTGGGCAGAGTTAATGATAGTGAACCTCTTGTAGGTGCATCCTGTCCATTCCAATGGCTCCGGTCATGGCAGTGGTAGAAAACGATGCGATTTAGCCAACCACCTTATCGCCTCATCGCAAGCGATGTCAAAGTGCTCGACTTCGAAATTCAGAGCTTGCAATGCTGCAAAGTCTGGGGATATATCCCCCTTTCATGCGAAGCATCACAAGGTAAGACGTCCGATTCAATCCGTTTTGTGGGCACCGCCATGCTTGCAAAGTGAGCCTTGCTCTTCGAGGCGCCATGTTTGCAAGGTCTGTTAGAGTTAGCCATCAATGATTCAATTCCTGGTGAACCAACAGCTACATCTACAACTGATTAATATCCATGTGAGATGTGCTGAAAGGACTCACGGATGATTCTAGTTTTAGACTATAGTGTTGAGTTTATATCATGATTATCATATATTATAATATATATTAAATTATATTAATATATTATCCATGTGTTGAGTCAGTGTTGAGATGTATTAAGTGTGGACAGTGTGGCGCGAGGATGGAGTCGCCCCCTTCAACTCCTTTGACCTTGGTGCCGGCGAGGCGATTTAGGAATCCACACCGGAGATGACAATTAGGAACCATTATATATAATTATATATATATATGTTGATATATATATATATGTTATAGCATATTGGTTATGATGGTTGTGATGGTTATGATGGTTATGATGGACATTATGACCATTGTATATAACCATCATAACAGATTGGAACTACAGTATATGACATGAAATTATGACTCTAATTATGACTAATTATGGCCATGAAATCACTATCACTATTTAAAGATCCTGCATCGGGAGATGCCTGATTTGGTCTTATCTTGATCTGTCTCCTCGAGTGCTCCAACATGCTGCAACGTGCTACAGTGCAACAGCAACGGGCTTGGTGTCAGGCGAAGGAGACATGAAGATGGAGAAAGGTCCCGAAGGACAGCAGATGTTTGTGTTGTGGCGGCCACCTTACAATGATGGGCTCCTAGATGTTCCCAGCAACCGCGAGCCCAAGTGGTGGTTCCCCAATCATCTCCTAGGTCCTGGCAAATCCCCAATGATGGGTAGTGACAACCCAGTGATATCTGTTAGCATCTGTTTGCAGAACTATCAAGAATTCATCATTGTGAAAGATGGCTCAGGATGGTTCAAAATCTTCTTTGGTGGGCTTGATGTGTGACGAGCGTTTGCAGGTGTTTCAAATGTCAAGCCGTCAAGGCTCCAAGATCTTTTTCTATTGCTTGAAGGGAGCAAAGTCGAAAGCATGATATCCTGCCAATGTATAATTATGATTGCGTATAGATCACCATGTTTCCTATGTTTCCTTCAACATGCTAATAACTATCTAACAACTATCTCAAAAACCATCTAAAAACCGCAGTTTTATGCTTGAGCTGCTGGATATTTCACCACCAAAGCCATATTTTTCCAGGAGACGTGGCAGTCGCAGCCGCGATCGCCGGCGCCAATCGCCGCCGCCCGCGGATTGGCGAGGGCCGGCTGAGGGCTGGCGGCCACCGCAGGAATGGGCTGGGCACTGTGGTGGCAGTCGGAAGTCGGAAGGGCGGTCTGAAGGGACCAGGTGACCAGGGAGGAGATTTCGAGAGAATAATGAATCATGTGAAAGATGTTCATAGTGTTCTGAGTGTTCTCATGGTTTTTCATGTTTTTTTCCCCGCATTGTTTTAGCAGGTTTCCTCCAGGAAATGTGTTCTAGAGTTGCATGAGTCGATTTTGTCCTAGTCCCAATTGACTTACCTTGATTGTCATGCAAATCCAGAATGCAATGTTTCCAAGATGTTTCCTATCGTTTCCTGCTGTATTTTGATTGCAGACCTCTGACCGATTTGACCGGGACTCGGCTGAGGTATGCGCCGCCCAACCATGGCGGCCATATGGGATGGCCACCACCTCAACGTCCCATGTATCGGCCGCCAGGTGATCCGACTGCATCATGGATGCAATAAACCATGTGAAATAAGACAGTGTTACTGTCATTGTATAACTGTCGTATTTCAGATGGTTCGTCTAGATATATTATCGTATATTATGCACATAAATGTATTATATAATTTTAATGAAACAACTTACATATTATGTTTCTATGGAGTATCTCCTTGTATCATCTTGTATCGGTTATATAGATTAGAGGCGGAATCCATCTTTTACATTCAAATCAATAGTATAAAGATGTATAAAGTCTACAGAGAAGTAGGAAAAACATGGAAAAACCCTTGTGATTCCTTGCAAAATCTCTGCCACTTGAGGGGCCCGCCTCTGCCGCAGGCTACGGGCCGTGGGGCGTGCCACCCCCGCGGGAAGCCATGGACTGGCGCCCTGGCGCAGCGTCTGGGACTCCAGCCCTGCCAGGTGCACCAGGCCAGGGGTCGTTTTAACGGGAATACCATGGTGGTTTTTCCAACATACCATGGTTTTTTAATGGGAATACCATGGGAATATACCATGGAAATCGTTGGGATATTGGGACCCTTGCAAATCTTGTAACTTTGACTAGAAAAAGCCATGAATGAAGCGTAAAAATTGATGAATCGCAGCGTCACAGCATTGTATTTGGTCCAGCCACAATCAGACGCCATTCCTGAGCCACATCTCAAAGCATGTGATTTTCATTACTTCACAGGCACATGGACACCACCTGGTCCTGCTCCTCCTAACCACTGGGGAGGCAGGTAGGGTTTAGGGGTGGAAAATTTTTGGGTATTCAAGGCCAAACGAAAAAACGGATGGGTCAGATATGACATTAACACATGGGTTTGTCTGAAAATAGGGTTAATCTTCCCAATGAAATAGCCATTTAATAGGGATAATGATCAGCAAAACCATTGGGTAAAAAGGGGTACACAACATTTTCAGACAAACCCACATATTCACAGATTTCACAGATTTCAGCAAGCATTTTTTGGGGGTTTACCCATTATCATCCATTATCCATGTATACCCAATTTTGACCCATACCCATGTGGGAACAGGTAGGCAAGATTTGGACATCGTGACATCGACCACGCAGCCAGGTGGTCCTCCATCGCATTGGGGCGGCCCCAGCGCGCCGACTCCCTTTGCCAAGGGACCGTTTGAGCAAAGTCCTGCGCTTCTTGGTGCAGTTCTACCTTTTTCAAGGGCCCGGAGTAGGATCTAACTTGGTTGATAAATTACAGTAACATAGTGAGGTTCCCCTCCACATGGTGGGAATCATTGATAATCTGCTAGTAAAAACTATACCCCTCCAATTAAACAGCCGAGGTTTATCAATCCGGGCTCGACATTATTGGTTTCATTCTGATTCTGATGTGGCACTGATGCTGTGATGAGTGGCTTGCAGTTTGCAACGGATATGATGGTGGTGAACAGAAATGGGTGAGAGAGGGAGCACCTCAAATTGCAACGGTCCCCAACATAAACCGGCTCGTGACAAAATTCATCATTCCACAGATGCGAGAAGAACATGATCCATCCAGATTCTAAGACATTTGCAAGGTTTGTGAGACTCAGGCCCGCAGTAGTGGAGAATGGCCACAGCGCAGGCCGCAGCTGTGCAAGGAATGTGTGTACTTCCATGTACTTCCTTTCCAACATGTTCCAACATGGTTTGCAGTGGAAAATCACAATTTTTAATGGGTAAATCATGGTAAATCAACTATAAATGGGCAATTTTCCTTGGCTATGTTAGTTTACCAGAGGGTATAGTTTACTCCTAAGCCCACTCCCAAGATCCCAATGGTATCCACCACTCCCATGGCCATTTTGGGGTAAACCCAAAGACACAACAACCATTTCCAGACACACCCGAAAGATCGTACAGGTATGAAATTGTTGGTTAATGTTGGTCAATGTTGTTAATGTTGGTTATATGATATGATATTATATGATTATAATTATATGGTTATATTATATGATTGAATATAATTATATGCCCCTGGTCTACCCATCAAATCCCACCGGAAGACTATATCTAAGCATCAACTGCCAAGGGGATTTCCACTTCGCCCATCCCCCACTTGGATCATCAGGTGCTGTCCCCGCCACCGCTGAGCCCGCCCTAGTGGAGGAGCCTTTGCCACCTGCGCCCACGGCATCTGAACGCGACTCAGCTGCACCAAAATGTCTGACTGTTTGTCGATAGTGGAAACAGGTCGAATAGCAAAATCCTGGTAGTATTTCGATCGTGGTGGTTAATTACTGTTCGATCTTTGAGGTTTTTGACCTACCTAGTCAGGAACCCCTATAAACCAACCAATATAACGAAATGATACATGATGATACCAATAGAAAGCATTACACAATTGAAGGAAGAAGACTACCAGCAACACCCAATTGATTCAACCTCGCTTCTTGAGCTGGAACATGCTGGAACTCTTGGCTGCAATGTACCTCCCCCTTATCTCTGTAGCCTAATCTGGAGGATTGTTGTTAGACAAAGGTTCCTCAGATATTAGGGGATGGGCTTGTCTGAAAATGTACACCCCAAGATCTCCGGGTTGACCACTGAGGCCTTCGTTCAGTGCGGTTGGTGTCCTCTGCTTTGAGCGAGCAAATGCTCGAGAAGCTTCATTCCTTGGGGGTGATGCCGAAAAAAGGCGCATCATCCGTATCCTGAAGCAAACGACATGTTGAGACATATTTCGTAAAGTTGTACCCTGCGGTAAATTAACGGAGATATAGAAAACCCATGAAAACCCACCATTTGTGGATTATTTTCCTTGCTGGACTGTGGATTTTCCAGATGTATTACTTTACCTAGAGGGTATAGTATACGTGGGGATTATATGTAGTGATTGGCTGCAATGATGTTTGTTTCCTTTTCCGACGATAGAAGTAGCTGTAGCTGTAGCTGTTTGCAAGAGGAACCAAGGACTTAAACGATAGCTTGATATTACTTGATATTGCAAGGAATCAAGTTTCCATGCAGTGACAGTGGCAGCTGGCCTTCTCATTCAGCCTCATTCAGCCTCATTCAGCTCCCACCAGGCAAAGAGCTGGTTGAAAAGGCAGGAGCCCATGTGGTTTTCCATGTGTTTCCATTGTGGAAATTTTAAGGGCAGATTAGGTGGGAAATGGTGGGAATCTATATGAATCACAATGGATGCACCGGAGGGTCTCCATCAGCTGCTTTGGATCTCATGAGTGCTCTCCTATGAACCAAATGGTCCATAGAATGTGCTAAATTTAGATTCTAAGATCCAATATCCAAAAGTCTCCAAAGCTTCTCCGTTGAGCAGTGATCTTCCATATGTATAGCATATTATAGCATTGTATAGCCAACAGTTGATGCTTTTGTTTTGCAGATCTGGGTTTGTCTGAAAATAGGGTACCCCATTTCATCCCCTGGTTAATCAAAAACTGTTCCCTATTCAACTGGCCGGTTTGTCATATCCATTTCATATCCCATTATATCCTCATTGAGCCCCCATCCCCATCTGAATTCTTCGAGCTCTGTGCAGGTGCCCGAAGCAGGTTTTCGCAGCGATTTGGCAAGTGGGAAAACCCAGGGCTGAACGATTCCAGAGGCGCTTCTTTCTTAGTCAAAAGATGTCAAAGGTTTAAAGAATCAACTAATTACTTAGACTTGTTTTGATTGATATTGACATTTATTTAGGCTGTTTATTGATGTTCTTTAGGTTTCGCAAGTACTACAATGAACATCAAGAACCGGAACCTATTCTCCCTTGAATCATGCAGAAGTTCCTCCACAGGCTGCACAGGTTCCGCAGCAAAATCTATCTATTTTGCCAACTAAGTCAAGGATGAGCTGCAGAGACTTTACTTTTACTCCAATGCCAATAGTGACAACGACCTCTCAATCATTTGCTACCACCATGCTTTGGATTATGGATGACTATGCTATAAATTGCTTCACTTCACTCAGCAACACGGCAACACGGTAAGCATTCAGTTTCACAAAGACCAGTGCAAGACTCTTTTGATCCTGGACCACGAGACATTGATCACCTCATTCCTTAAATGGCCGCCTTTCTCTTTTGCTGGTGGATGTCATCGTCTTGGAACAGTTTCAATTTTTGTGGATGTCATCCCTAGTTACTAGTTGACCTTTTGAAAGCGGAACCTTCAGAGGAGCCAAGGTTTGCTGGAGATTTCTTTCCAGCTAGTAGAGCCTGGCCGCATCCACGATATCCTGTCAAATATATGAATAAAACATCATAAAACATCATTAGTCACATTTACCCTCCCAGAATTTTTGTTTCACATAGCTATGACAAATTACCCATGTAGTTCAAAAAAAATAAACTTTAAAACGGCGATGAAATTCCCATCCAGACGCCGTGGATGGCCTCAGGTGGTGCTCAATGTGACTTGTTGGGTCTGGGCTTCGGCAGCACCCCTCTGGGCAGCGCTCAAAAGTTGCCCGCGCCCGCGGGCAAGCGCCGGGTGCCGGCCACGCCGGTGCGGATCTCGATGTCTTTTTGGGGGGAATTTGAAAGGCTTTTTCTTTGGATATGTATATATATATGTAATTATATATTAATATATTATATATGTAATTATTCTATATATATATATATATGCAGTAGGATATTCACGGATTTATTTTTTTTGGGCTCCCCGCTGAATGCCTGACAGATCACGTCTATACAGGTCTCGAACAAACATACCACTTAACATGCCAACATGAGCGTGAGCAGAACAGCTGCACGCTCCCGCTCAATGCCTGAAAGCCAGATCACGTCTATGCAGGTTTCGAACAAACACGCCACTGAAACATACCAACATGAGCGTGAGCAGCACAGCTGCACCCTCACCATTGAATACCTGACAGCCAGATCACGTATATGCAGCTTTCTAACAAACATGCCGTTTCAACATGCCAGCATGATAGATAGATAGATAGATAGATAGATAGATAGATAGATAGATAGATAGATAGATAGATAGATAGATAGATAGATAGATAGATAGATCGATAGATAGATAGATAGATAGATCGATAGACAGACAGACAGACAGACAGACTGAGAGAGAGAGAGAGAGAGACAGAGAGAAAGAGAGGAGAGAGAGGAGAGAGAGAGAGAGAGATTGATACATAGATAGATAGGTGGGTAGGTAGGTAGATAGTCAGAGAAAGAGACAGAAAGAGAGAGAGAGAGAGAGAGAGAAAGAGAAGAGACCTCAACCACCTGTCGGTCCATCAGTGGCTTCCCTCTGCCATCCGTGACTCACAGCAACCAACCTCTCCTGTAGGTTTCCTATTTTTGAAACATCGCCTCTGAGGTTTGCACCTTGGGCTTGGCTCCAGGGGGCCTTTGGGAGCGCTTCCGGCAGCGTTGCGGCACGTGCCTCGTCTGGCATTGTCGCTATTCACCTTAAGACGGATGGGGATTTGAGATGAGTTTAATATGGGTTATCCCTGGATTAAATGGGATAACCTAAGGAAATAAGGCATTATCTGATCTGTTGGGGGGTGACTTTTGGGTGGGTACCCTCACATATCCACTTTTCTATGTGTGGATAATTTACCTTGTGAACATTGTGGATTTTCATTGCTATTGTGGTTTACTGGTGTACCCCTTTCAATACTGGTCGATGTTCAATGAATGCTGATTCCATCACTCCAATGATGGATAGCTTCTTGCGATGATGGTTTCAAACGAAAATGGTTTGGGATATTACACGCTATTACAATATAATCAACAAATTACATATCAATTTTATAATATTATACATATTATATATACTACATGAGATTACACACACACATACAGTAATATATATTATATATAGATAATAATACACATTATCTACATATACACATATACATACTTTCACATCTCCGGAAACTTGTGGCCTCTTTGATGTGGCATCCTGGAGTCAGTTCCAAGGCCCTGGCCGCCGGAACCACCAGTCTTCATCCCGCAACTGCGAAGCTCCAAGGCTGGTGGTCACGCGGTGCGGAGGCCCAAAAAAGATCGGGGGTTTGACGGCCCAAGACGCTTGGTTCTGAGAATGTTTGTGACTTGGATGCTGAAAAAATAGCTGTGTGACTGAAATTGTGTTCCAAAAAAAATCTCTGATGTTTGTTTGCTGTTTTGATGTTTTCTTGCTTCTGTTTGATGTTTGTTGGATCTGGGATGGATAGGAGATGGGGATATGAAAATAGGTTTGCCATGGTCTGCCTCAAAACATGTGTTCATAATTTATAGTTTCAAACTCTAAGTAGCAAAACACATGGGAAAGTAAACCTATATAGATTCACAAACTCATTCGAGTGATATCTTTTGGCGGTTCTGCGTCAAATAATGTATCATGTCGGTGTCACAAGTTCAGTTCCTCAATTTGACACATGGTCCAGTTCACACTTGAAGCTTGTTGGACACATCCAATTGGAAAAGTGAGACACATGGAACCCGTTCAGGAACAGTCTGATTTGATTTAGGATCATCCAAACTTAGTTTTCAGGGATTTTGATTCTAGGTTTTTACATGTTTTTACATTCTTTCCGTCGTACATACTGAAATCACCCCCAGATATATATATATATATATTTATTTATATTTATATTTATCCATAATATTTGTTCATCATTTTTTTCCTGATTCGTGGCTTTGTTTGGGGGGCATTTTTTAAAATCTGCCTTTTCATGCCGCTGAGGTGGTCTTGGCAGTGAGAGGTGAAACCCGGTGAGGCTGTGCCGCATCCCATCCAAGAATCCAAGTATCCTTTGGCAATGAAAGATTGCCAACAAATTGTCCATTTTCCAGACGATCCAGGATCAAATTTTGTAGAACAACATGTTGTTGCAAAAGGAAAGTCAACTGTGGATGGAGATAAGCTGTCGATTGTCGCCAGGGTTGATTGCCAGAGGGTTCGTCTGATGGTTCCCTGTCAGCACAGAAGCTTTGCCAATTTTATCCCATCTTGGCTGGAAGGGCACAACTTTCGCGAAAAATGGAATCTGCTTCGTGGAAACCATGCATGGTAGAAAGACATAGACATTGGGTCCGGACCTATGTCCAACTGAAGTTTTGGTACATCTCCCCAGACATTCCACAAGCAGTTCTGGAGAGACGTATATATCTGTTGCTGCCCGCTGCGGAGCTGAGGGAAAAAATGTGATTCGATGTAAACCCCGGCAGTGGGCGTATATTGTGGATATCTGTGGATGTTTGGATGAGCTGAACCTTCTGTGATCCTAACAGATATTATATAACAGATGCTGGCGATTTCGCTCGCCCTTGCGCTCTGCATAGTGTCGAGATCGGTGGAGATGTGTTGACAGTCAGCGCTGAAACAAACATGGACTACCCAGGGTCGCAAACACTAACTTCGCCTGGCGCAGCGCGAACACAGAATCTCACTTTGGATGTGCCATCTGAAGGATGTGACAGCGAAAATTCTTCGGCGCATTGCTGAGCACCGTTTCGCCGTATCGGTCGTCAAGAAGGCATCGGTTCACCCGAAAAGACAACCAGGGCAGCGACCACAACACGATGGTGGAAATGCCGGACCCTTTCATGCGGACAACTTAGTGAGCCGCCGGCGTGAACCGAAAGAAGTGACTCAGCGGTTGTAAGTAAGTGATGACTGGATTAAACATGCGAGTTGGATGCTGTCAATGTGACTCCAAGATTTGAATTCGCCATGTTCAAATTAGATCCAAAACATTTCAAAACTATACAAAATGCAAGGGACTACAAGGGTATGCGACTATGCAAGGGATGTTTGGTACCAATATAGAGCCATTCAATCTCTCCGCAGCAACATCGTCTGGATATCCAGATACAACAACCATTCCTTTGTCCAAGTAGTCTTGCAAGTAGCTGGTATGCTGCCGGTGGTACTGTGCGTTGAAAATCGGGGATCTCTCCACCTGTTGCGTTCCCCATGATAAAACGCACTTGCCTTATCTCGTTTCAGCGATTTTCAGGTTTCCAATTCTCTCAAAGACATTTGTTAAGATCAATGATACTTTCTTCCTCTTCTGCTTCTTCTTCTCAGAGCTCACGAGTCAGTACAGTGAAGATACGACGCCATTAGAGGCACGGCAATCTTCTGCATGGATTGGCTTGATTGAACTAATGCCAACGAATGTCCAAAGCAAATCCAGGAATTCTCACTGCAAGAAGGGACTTCCCACTTAGTTTGAGTTAGAATCTCATCTATAGACCAAGCGCTTGTGCTGGGCACACACATGCACCTGTGACAAGAGCAAGAAGCATAATACACTATATGCAAGGACCTGTTGCCCTATGGGTGTGGCGTTGTCTTTAAACTCATCGCAGCCTTTGAGCACAAATCTTTGAAAGTTCGAATCCTTCCAGGTCCGTTTTAGTTTTCTGTTTCTTTGCTTCTTCTTCTTCTTCTTCGTTTCTCTTCCTCCTCACTCCTGCAACACTTGCCGCAACAACTCCTAACATCATCAAAACACAATCCCAAAGGCATTGGACTAGGATGACAACGCAATTCCGTTTGTTGCAGCCAGCGGGACATAAATCTAAAATTCGGAATTGGCTGCCATGTTGGTGCGATGTCGTGCCTTCTCTTCTGTAAAGTGCCAAGTGCCCTTTGGTTCTGTAGAAGACGAAAGTGCTGGCAGCAACTGGTTAGGGTCCAACCACACGAGATCAACACGTTGGCAAGGACGGACATCTGGACCCAAACAACCACACTTTCGTCATCGGCCTGCGTTCGCTTGCCTATCCAATCCACAAATTTAGCCGCCTTGAAGCGCAACTGGTCCGTGGTTGGAAGCAGGTCTGATATGTAACTAATTTATTCTAATTTGAGATGATGATTGTCACTGACTAACATTCATAGGCACGGGTTTCACCAAGACCTTTTCAAGCGGTGCTGAATGCAAAGCTTCTGGCAATTCCGTCCTGTGCTGTTTGGAGGCTTAGAGATGCTGTGGATGAACCCGAACTGGTTGCGTAGCTCGTTTCCCGACCGCTTGCTAAAATGTGCATTGAATTTGAACACAGCAAACGGCAAAGGATTGGTATTGGTATATCCTCGTTTCTACCTGGGAAACATTGGGAAACTATACTTGTAAATACGCGCTTGCGCAGGAAACAGGCTGGCGCGAGGACATGCAGGCAAAGTCAACTGAAACAGGTTTTCTACTATTGCTTGGCCTACTTGAAATAATGACAAGTAGAAATGGTTAACATGTTCCAAAGCATAAATTTCACACCAGGTAGGCCTCATCACACCGACATGGACGTCTCAGATCGGAGCGTCGGAGCGTATCCATTTCGTCCGTTTCAATACATTCCTGCGCCCTGAACTTGGACTGTCTTGCGATGGCATGCGGACTGAGATTTGAGACTTGATGTTTTTGGGAGAAACACTTCCGTGGTACAGACATTCAACAAGCTGGAGATGGAAGTGGTGGTTGAGGTGGAGATGAAGGTGGAGAGGTTCAGGTTGTGGTAGAGGTGGAGGTGGAGGTAGAGGTGGAGGATGAGGTGGACGTTGAGTGGAGGTGGAGGTGGAGACGAAAGTGGAGGGTCAGGTGGTTGAGGTGGAGGTGAAGGTTGAGGTGGAGGTGGGGGTGGAGATGAAAGTGGAGGTGGAGATGGAGATGAAGGTGGAGGTGGGATTGAAGGCGGAGGGTTCGCACATTTTTTTAAACTTCACCTTTTGCGAAAAACGTGCTTATTTTGTTATTGATTGTTTAATTTTCCAGATCCGAAGAAACACATGCCGTTGGCAGCAAAAACACAAGTAGAACACTGCGTTGAGATATTCGTTCCTCTTGCGTCAACATGCGTCAACAGCAAATTTTCCTATTGGATATGCTTGGGGCTGTCGCCCATTAAAATGTTTTTTTCCAATTCAGCAGCCTCGCTAGGGAGTCTGGCTGGCAGCCGGTCCCTGTTGCCAAACCCACGTTTTTAAAAAAATATTTAATTTCAATCACCTACATGGCATACCGCTGGACCGAGTTGGCTGGCGGCCGGCCATCTCTCGCAGCGATGTTCCATGCAAATGTGTTCAATTACATACATTTAACCGCCCCACAGTTATCCGTAGTTAAGCGCGACGCTACATTATACCCCAAATGTACCCAAATGTTTGCGTGAACACTCCCGGGCAGAATAGGGGGTCTGGAATGCTTGCTCTTCAAGAAGGGCGTGAAAATCCTTATTTACCTTTGGTGGAAACTATTTTGGAAAGATTTAAACTTTCAGATGCATATTGGAGATCTGCTCTAACATGCCTTTAAGGAACTTTTAAATCCAAAGGACATAAATACTTCGGCAGGGATGTATTTTAGATTTTGCTTGAAGGCGCAGACCTTTTTGCAGTGAAATCGCTTTAGTGGTATGTTTGCGCTATTGTGGCGCTGGATACAGTCAAGGGTCAAAGTCGTAGCGATTCTTTGCTTTTGAGTCCATACCATTGGGCGAAGCTCTTCAGGGGGGTCGTAGCGATTGTGGCTGCGCCTATGAGATTTGCAATGATTTGTTGAGTCGTTTTAGAGGCCTTTGTGGGTCAAATCCATGTATTTCCGTTGGGTTCTTGGATGACCATATTATATATATGGTTTGCTGAGGTTGTTCCAGCATATTTGGCTTACATACGTCTTTTGGATGGGAGGGAGGCTCATCTTCTTTAATTGATGGTTCGGGATGCTGAAGGGGTGCGGTGGCACAGGGAGTTGCGCACTTCATGTTGTGGTCAAAGATGGCCTTGGGTCCTCCGTTTGACAACTCATGAATCAGGGGTCGTTCGCGGTGTTGTTCCGGGGTCGTTCGGGGGTCGTTCAGTCGTTCGGTTCTATTTTCAGTGCTAAATTTCACAAATGCCGTACCTTAACAGAAGCCTTGTACCTTATCTGCTGTTCATGTCTTTGTGAAAAGAATAGTCTTCTGGCAACGTTTGGAGGGGCGGAACCTCGAGTCAAGTGATGTCCTTAAAAAAGACTGAAATCTGAACGCAGCAGGATCATCACTTTGGAAAGAATTACGCTTCAGGGACAGGGTCGCAAAACTTGATGTAGTGCAGACATCAAAAAATCAATGGCATCAGCAAAATTCTGGGTTTGCAGAGTAAAATGGGTTTAGTGCCCAAATGCACCACAACACAGCATAGTACACCCACCCTCCAAGGTTGGACTGCAGCGTTCAAAGGTAAAGCGCGCATATCTGAAAGTTAGGTTGGTCGTATTATGAAGGTGTGAAATCTGCTTTTCAATCAAGAAACGGCTTCTCATAAGTTCACATCCACATTCTAGACTACACATGGCAACCAGCAGCTATTGAAGCCAACATGCAGTCCCAACAATTGAAACTCAGAAAAAAACGCCCGTCAACAAACAGCTTACGACCAGTCACGTGAAAACAATGACGTATGGCCCTTCCAAACCTACCACCTTGAAACTGAATCTTAAGAATGGTGTTCTTGCAAGACTGTTCAACCATGTTCAACCCAAGAATTGTTAGCACAAGCATCAGCATTTTGGTTCTGTGCTCTAAAACCGAGTGTAGCAAGATGCAAACTAACCAGTACAGCGCGAAAGAAATTAAACAGACAACACTCCAAACTAGAATGCGGCCCTCAAAACTCAAACTCAGATAGACCAAAACAAGCAGCTTTAGACCACGTCAGATCATACTACAATGCCAGAATATGTGTCGCGGCGAAGCCCTAGAAAAGCGAAGGCGTGGCCACCAGGGCTTGAGGTACAAGCGTAGAAAACGAAGTACAACCCTCAAACGTTTGAGGTTTTGCACTTTATTTCTTGAAGTCTCCCTTGCAGAGTTGTCTTCCACT